CGTACTGGACTAGCCCATACCACTACTCTTGATATACTGTGAGCAGAAGACATGCATTTCCGTAAATGATGAGGGCATTACGGTTGGTCACAAAGAATGGTTTACTTACTAGTGTATCACTACTTTGTAAAAGCACTATTCAACATGTACCTTTTAAATATGGAAAATAAACATTTATTCACTACATGTACCCAATTATCATCGCACTGAAATTATGCATCTTTCAGTAGCTAAAAATTTTTATAATTTGATCTTAAAAGTTTAATCTAGGCAGCCATACCACACCAAAGTTCTAAATTGGTTTCTTATCTTTTACATGAAAATCCTGGTCTAACCTTAGAAAAAGTAGGACATCGTTTAATAATTTTGCTGAGAAATGTCATGTTCAAGGCCCATTTACACTGCAGTTCCTTACTAGTATGAATGAAATATTAACAAAAAGGCAATTATTGGAACATGCTATCCCACCACTTTATCTCGATTTTTGTGTCTAGTAGATCCTAAGAATAACCTTTTGAAAGAAAACTTAACATTATAGTAATCCAAAGTTTCAATAATGACCGTGGACTGGTTTCACATTGTCTTTGGTTAATTCTAAGTCCATAGACTCAGGACCGAATAGCTACCATAAAAATGATATAAAGTTTGTTTGGCTTCACTTCGAGGATGCGACCAAGGGGCCACAAGTTTTCTTCCACGAGTACTAGGCGTATCAAGGTACCAATTGTGTTGACGATTCTACAGTCACATGTAGCTCTTAACGCCGTATTTGTAGGTTTTAACTTTACAAGTTGATTTTTAACATATTGGACTTTCACCCATACAGATTCGGTTCGAGAGGTATTGATTGAGAAAATTTGAGGCAAAGAGGGTACAATAAAGTAAGATGTTGAAGCTTTTTACCAATCAGAGGAAGATTTCAGCAGTGTTGTTACGAACTTGCTCGAGGGCAGTGGTTTCATCAAGTCTGCGCAATACAGATAGCTTAAAGTATTGCAGTCGCTCTATGTCGGATGACAATTCTTCTAATTCGACAAGACTTGCTGTGGTGAGTTGATTATACTTAATAATGACAGAGCACACAGTGCACGAAAAAAGTATTAATTTTTCTTGTTAATCACCTGATTAATCGTGTAACGCTTCTCGCACCATTGCACTTTTAGCGCGCGAATTTGCTTGCGAAAGACTTCTGCAGTCTTTGCCGCAAATCTATGCAGCTCCTTTGTCCTACTGATTTGATAAAATTTAGAATAATTTCTCCCTTCATTGTCAGTGGCTGGTGGTAGATATTTACCGAGCCACTTCGTAGCTTGGTGAATATTTACTTGGAGCGAACTCACTATCAAATTTTACGGCTAAAAGATTTCAGGGAAAACAACCGATAAATAATAAATGAAGTGGGAGTCTCCTAGAAGTAATATTTTACCCAAGTTGTAGATTATATACGAGAATATTTTTAGTATTTGAAAGAAGTAATCAGAAAAGAAAAAGAAGAAAAGACCAAAAACAATGCGTGAGTACACGCTTAAATCTAGTAAGGCAGTCCCCCTTCCCCCTAACTATGTTAATGACAAAAGTGAAGTTAAGACTTCTTTTCGATTTTGTTTCTCAGGTAAATTTTCCTTCAACAAGCTATTTTCATCGTTGGAGTCTTAGCAACTCTGATAAGGAAGACTACTCCATGGTGTTAATAAAGATGGAGGGCGATGCAGAAAAAAATTCGCGTACGGTAATATAGGGCAATATCCATTTTCTTAGCCTCTTCCAGGCGTTCAGTTAGTTGGGCCGGCGCAACGCGAAAAACAGAACTCTTTTTTTCTTTTTCTATTTTTTTTTTCCCGCGCTGTTTTCGCACTGCGCCCCAACAAACTGGCATGAAAGAGTGCCAAGCTAATTACATGAATACTTTGGCACGAAGAGGATCAGACTGTGCATTCAGTGCTGGTTTAAGATCTTGAATACACAGCATTTCATTGACAAGGCAGTAAAATTTGAGTGCTGATAAACATAGGGTTACTCCTGCTCGAGAGGAGTCTTCCGTAAGCTGAGGTATCCGAGTCACCTTATTGATTCCGTCATCAACAGGTTTATCACCTCGAGAGTCGCAGTGGACCAGCCTAAACAGCATTCCGATGACGGCATCCGGATAGTTATCCCCTTTAAAGATCAGGATGCTGCNTTTTTTCCGCGCTGTTTTCGCACTGCGCCCCAACAAACTGAACGCCTGGAAGAGGCGTCCATTTTTGTTACGTGTGCCTTTTCCTTTGCCTGGCTATTACTCGCATATCTGGCGATCATCTTGTACTCAGAAAGCTTTTCTCGGTGATGTACTATTGTCATCAAAGACAATTATTCCTCTTAGGCAGCAGGGCTTCACAGGGACATTTGACCGGCTAAATTCTAACCCTAAGATTTTCAATAATTTTACGCTGTTTTCAATCCCAATTATGTCCAATGGGTATTCTTAATAACAATAACAAGAACAAAAACAAGAACAAGAACAAGAACAGGAACAGGAACGGCAACGGCAACGGCAACTGCAAATGCAACTGCAAATGCAACTGCAACGGCAACGGAACAAGCACAAGCACAAGCACAAGCACCGACGTTTCGGTGCATCTAGCGCCGTTATCAGGGTTGCATGATTAATGATAAAAAGCGGTTTGTGAAGAGCCTAAGTTGAAGCAAGTTTGCATAAAAGAGTGCCAAGCTAATTACATAAATACTTTGGCACGAAGAGGATCAGACTCTGCATTCAGTGCTGGTTTAAGATCTTGAATACACAGCATTTCATTGACAAGGCAGTAGAATTTGACTGCTGATAAACACAGGGTTACTCCTGCTCGAGAGGAGTCTACCGTAAGCTGAGGTATCCGAATCACCTTATTGATTCCGTCATCAACAGGTTTATCACCTCGAGAGTCGCAGTGGACCAGCCTAAACAGCATTCCGATGACGCCATCCGGATACTTATCCCCTTTAAAGATCAGGATGCTGCAGTGTCTGTCAAACGACAACTTAGATCTTAGCAGCAAGGTGCAAAAGACCATCCAACCCGTGTTTACTAGCCGCAAGCTTAAACAAGGTCTAAGCCTGTGTGAGCTCAAGCCTAACATTTTAACCTAGCAATGCGTTGTTTATTTATTCAGGTGTGACCTGTGTGATCCAGGTTATGTCGGGTACACAAAGGACCGCCTTCACACGCGCGTTGAGGGACACCGTCAAAAGACGTCATCCATTTTCAAGCATTATTACAAAAAACATAACACTGCTGTTCCGAACAATTTCTTAGCATGCTTCAATGTAATCAAGAAATGCACGAACAAATTTGACTGCCTTGTGGATGAAATGCTGTGTATTCAAGATCTTAGACCAGCACTGAATGTACAGTCTGATTATCCTCGTGCCAAAGTATTCATGTAATTAGCTTGGCACTCTTTTATGCAAATTCGCTTCAACTCAGCCTCTTCACAAACGCTTTTTATCATTAATTATGTAACCCTGATAATGGCGCTAGATTCAAAGAAACGTCGATTTCAATCACTATTTGTTGTATCATGAATAAAAACAATGGTACTTTTATAGCGCATATTAACAAGTGGTATGTTCACATGCCTTTATAAAATTATTAAAAAAAACTATTCATAAATAGCAGCTGTTCGTTAGAGTACTAATTAAGAGCTTAACAGATTTTAACAGGGGTAATTAAAAGCAGAATTTCAATATATTTCTCGACGGAAACCGAGTACGTGTTGACATGTTTTATTATGGTACATTGCACTAAATATTTTTGCCCATAGCCAGCTTACCTTTAAACTTCCTGAAGGCCTACTGGTGTAGAGAATCTTTTCAGGGATGTTCTGTCAATATGGTATAGTGTGTACATAGTTTTAAGATTTGAAAAAAAATAATTAATCAGTAAAACAGGGGAAGAAGGCGAGATGATGTAAGAGTACAAAAGTGACAAAAGGAAGGGATGGTTTCTGCTCAGGTATCCTAGTGGCAAAAGTAAAGACTTCTTTTCTATTTTAGGTACCTCTTACCCGAGGCGACTATCAAGTTTGGAGTCTGACTGCCAATGATCGGTATGAGGGTCATTCCTTAATGAAATTAGAAAGAAAAGGCCAAGGTGATCCAGAAATCAAATTTTCTGGAAGGTTCGATGACCCGACCGGTGCTAGTGAGTGTTTTCCACATGCGTTTAATTTACCCTTACAGTATTAAAGCTTTGAGAATGAGACAGACAATTTATAGCATATGAAAAGTATTTTGTTTCAGGTCAGTACCTTGAAATGATGATATCATTTAACGTAGAAATAATGTCATTTAATCGGAACATTCGCGAACTTACATACGGCGTCTTGGATAGTGTGAAAGTAGTCAAAGTTGCTAGGGAAAGCTAATTAAATTTACCTTAAAATCAAAAGCTAAGTTACCGCAAGAAAGTAAAAAAAAAAAAAAAAAAAAAAACTGACTGTGATGTGGAAAGATCTATCCTAGCTCTGCTATTGGCTTATCAAGAATATCTGGTGACATTTTATATTGATGATGTCACAAGTGGTACAAAGAGCACAACCACTCAGGATGTGTATATATGTCCTTGGGGGTCAAAGGGTTAAAACAAAAGCCCTCTAAGAGGACATGTTGTTACTGGATAGTAAATAACCACAGTGGTGCAAAAAAGAATTGCTGAGTTTTAATTTTATTGCAAAATATTTCTTTTGAAATTTAAATACTTGACACATATGTTCTCTGCATTGGCAGCATTAGGTACCTTTTTACGATGCAAGGATGGCAAGGCCAGGATGGGAAATGGCGCTGGACACGGGAATCTTTCACTAGTCCCGTCATGTTGCCAAATATGAAATGCTTTAAGATGTGTATTTTTCGTATAGGACGGTGACTTCAATGACCCAAGCTAGATGTATTGAAAAAAAACTTTTCACAAAACCGATGACATCCTTTAGAGTTAGTGAACAGATGATGCTAAAATTATTCTTCTGCATATAAGTTTATTTGCAGCATCTGCCAGTATTTCAATAATAAAGAATCCAGAATTTGCATATGAAGAAATGAAGCGAAAGATTTTATCAGGTGTATCTTATCAGATGGCTTTTTGCCAGCAGAGCATTTTAGAATCATGTCGAAGAATCCTGACTTAAAGTGAATAGTTTCTGTCTCACTTCACGAGATTCATTGTTCCAAAAGCTTTCGAAAAGTCATGGACTATCTTACTTACTTACTAACATGTCTGATGATATATTGGTGACTGGCTAAAGTCAGTAACCACAAAAAAACAAAATTAGTTATAATTTAAAGGCATGCCTCATTGAGGACACTATGTCTCAATTTTTTTAATTTTCTTGACCAGTACTTTCAATAAGATTTCAAGTAAGTGGCTATCCTGTTTCAGAACCCTTAAGAAAGCAGTAAGAGAAATTCATAACAACTTCCTCCAGAAAGACCACTTTTTCAAAACATTGTTATCCCC